TCAAAAATTCTTGTCTTCACTGAACATTGAACTGGCATTGAGTGAAACAACTAGTATATGCAAGCAACCAATCACGAAAACCAACTTCGTCCTGAGTTCATTGATCATTTGTTGTTGCTTCATGATAAGGCCTACTTGATCGAGATCTTTCGATGCACTACTGTTCACAGTAACTGACTGACCGTCAGGCGCATTGAAGACTCGCCGTAAACTCGCCCGCATACCTCAAAGTTACGAAAACGTTTTGTAAGTTGTACTGCAATTGTCACTATTTCAACTTTCAATTGAGAACAAATCTGAATCGTTATCAGAATATGACTACCAATTTACTCAAATTTTAAATGATGCTGGACATTTACGAGCCATTGTTCAATCGCATGTTATCATACGTCAGGAACATGCATGCGTGTAACTCATAGCATTGTTCTGCGTTTAACTATTCCATGAAATTGACACATTGAGCAATTGAATAGCGATGACCAATGATAGTGAAATGTTAGATGACGAAAAGTCATGCGATATGCTTGACATGAAAGTAACTGCATAACTGAATGAATAAATAATCAGAGAAGGCGTTCGTACTTCCAACCCGACTCAGTGCGGGACTAGCCAGAAGATTTGCGTTCGCAAGGAGTTGATCACGCATCTGTGCCATTTCTTCTTCAGCATTCGCTCGCTTCTCAGTTTCTGAAAATATATCCCGTTGAGAATCCAACTACAGAGTGATTCATCTAAATATAGTTACTTTGCACCTCATTAGCAATGAATAAAGGTTAGCAAGATGCAAGCCTAGAGAGAACATCCATATGCAACACGAACATCTTCCAATCAGAACACATTCAATGTGAGTTTCGTTTCAAACTTGAACTCACCAATTGAAAGTAGTGACTCAATATCTTTCTTATGCTGCACCAGGTCGATGTTCTCATGGCGAAGCGTGGTCAGCTTTTCGGTTAACGACTGCAACTTTTGTGCTGCTTCACCATCTTTCTAAACAACACGCAATTCCGATTATTCCTTAATATGTTGCCAATTTCATAGATTTCAAAAAGTTTCCCGGAGTTCACGAATAGCATCGCTTTGGAAATGGGCAGAATGGCATGAAAACGCAATCAAAAATTCCTACCTGCTCCATTTTGGTGTGAATTTGCTCGAGTTTGGTCTC